TTTGTATTGGGTTGGTCAAGAGTTCCAGAGTTCATATTGCTAATCGGTTAACTGCGTAGTCTCGAAACAATATCGTTGGTTTATTATCATTGTTGTGGTTATGGTTATGATTGCTGCTTATTGATGACTCTTTGGGCCCTGGAGGACAGTGTTTTAAATATTTCCATAATTTCATCAATCAGTTTGGGTCCCCATCTATTTTGTGTTATTTCCTTTATATATATGCACTGGGCAGTCTGCAAAAACTGCTGGCCACCTGCGACCTTTCTACCCACGAATTTATCCTATATCTGCGATTTAGTCAGGTTATATAGCTTTGTCGTTTGGTTCATTTTGCTTTCATGCCACCATACTTCGAAATCAAAAGGTAAATATTTACTCTCTCCTGTGCCCAAACTTAAAAGCAGATTTAAGTTGGTTTAATCTTATCCGAACTACCACTATTGGGATGGTATCGAAGCATGTGTCCATGTCCTCAAATACACAAATGTCAATGGCTGCTCACCGACTTTATGCTTCTCGAATCAAGCTATGTCCGATGTCTAGCTACATAATATTTTAGTCTATTCCCGTCCAACATGCCACAAGAATTCTTACACTGTACGCAGCGTACAGCGTATGCTTGAAATAACCTCCACGTAGCGGCAGGATTACAGGGTACATGGATGCGATCGAGCACCAAACATGCTAGTCCTTGAAAAAGCCCCTGGCTGTTATCTTGTTTCTCATGATTACTACTGTAGTAGCGATGGTGCTAACGGCGCCTCGATTTGTCCAACTCCTCTTCCAACTCTCCACTATGGTATTCCTGTTGTTGGTGGCCTTTGTCGGGAATAAATAAACTTACTCTTTTACTCCAGCTAATTTATTCAACTCCTCAAACCAAGAGAGCAAATATCAAAAGCAACCTAACCGTCCTCAAGAATGACAAATTCTCGCACTAACGAAGCAGACCTGGACGTCGAGGCTCACGCGGCTTTTACGGTGATGCCGTACATTTCTCCTTCACAAACCTCGCCCACCGCTGGCATCACCCTCAAACTATCGTCATCATGGACGTACTGCGGACCGCTGCTGAATCTACCGCTCCAAAATCCCCCGCCCTCATTCTACACGTGGTCCGAACAAACCGTAACTGGCTCCATCCTTCCCGCTCTCACCCAGTTTATCAGCTTCGCCAACGAATTCCTCCTCAAAAACAACCTCTCCCACTACTGGCTCACGATCAAGGCTTCTAGAGGAACAGACGAATTTGATATGCCGCGATGGCATACCGATGACCTGTTTTATAGCAAGGGCGACGAGGACCCCATCACCAAGCTACGTGAAACGAAATGGAAACTCGCTACAACTCTGCTAGGCCCCAGCACACTCTTCTTAACCTCCCCTGCCCGCGCACGCTCCATCCACAACCGAATAAAACAATCAGTCTGCGATGAAAGTAAGAAACACCTCTGTGCGCCTGTTCGATGTGTCGGGTGCGCCACAGCTGCGGAATCGGTGCGCCTGCGTTTGGCTGAAGAATTCCGAGACCACGGATACGTACAGGCGGGTCCGGGAGAGTGTACATTTTTCCGCGTTGGGGACGATGAGGGGGCGGTACACTCAGAACCTCCGTCCCATGGTGATCGGATATTTGTGAATGTGGTGCCGGGGCGGGAGGAGGAGCTAAAAGAGATCATGAAGAAATGGGGTATGCAATTTCCGCGCGCCTGGTGTCTAGATTTACCGCTGCAGCTTAGTATGGGACCAGTCGGGATACGTGGGAATGTTGAGTTGAAAAGAAGCGTGTTGGTAAGTATGTGCAGGCAGTGCC